TATTTGGAGCGTTATGTTAGAATGAAACAGCCAGGTCGTGACTCACAAAAAAAAAGTGTCACTTCACTAACTGTAAGCTTGTCACTCAGAGTAACCTACAGTTAACTTAACTGTTGGAAAAGAAAGATCAGGGGGGGGAGAGAGCTGTGGCTGATGGGCCATTAGGTGTGTAAACACACAGCATTCAGACTGTTTAAAAAACGGTAACAACGGACTATTTTTCTTAGCGGATGCATGTCAATTTAAATCAATACATACAACTATTTTTTAAATCAATAAAAACATTTTCTAAATCCATAAAAGCATTTCAATTAATATTGGGAGTCATGTCGTTACCAGAGATGGGGTCGTTACTAAAAAAAAGTAATATATTACATATTACATATTACTTTAAAAAAAAGTAATATATTATACTACTTCGTTGCTCTCTACATAAAGTAGAACTCGTTACTCGTTACTTTACTCGTTACTTTACTCGTTACTTTACTCGCAGGGCCGGCCCGCCCCTCCTTACAGGCAGATCACGCAGACTGCTAAAGTTTCAAATGTTCTCTTTAGTTCAGTTTCCATTGTCGCAAGACTGATCCAGATAGCTCTGACTATGGCTGTCCTCTGTCTCCTGCTATCTGTATTTTGCGCAATATATCTCTGAACAATGCGATGGTGATTCCACTGTGCAAATGGGCAACATTACCTCTACTATGAAGGATGCTACAAGCCTGTCCATCTCTGCTTTGGTTACCGGTCCTCCAAATTCTAATTTGTGCCGCTTCAGAGTCGGCGGCGGCGCACTCACAACATCCTCACTCTGGGTTCGGGGGTCCGGTCCTTAGCTATTAGCTTCACCTTAGCATGTGTTCTTTGCAGGTGTTTGACGTGGTGTTTGCAGCAGTGTATAACAGCTTCTGGCCTGGACACAGTTTGCACCTCACCGTCACATTCCTAGTCTATTCTTCGGACAAACTCAAAATAATGGGCATACCTCCACCCCTCGAAAGTTATCGCTGACTCTGCCATGTTTATGCAGCACTGCACGTGGAAATGTGGACGCGCAAGTCGCGCAGATTACGTACATATAAACCTGCGGCGGAAACCCCTCTTGTCTGTCAGTGTGATTATGACTGATTTTATAAAAGTAACGAAGTAACGCGTGTCGGGGCAATGTTAGTAACTGTAGTGTGATTACTGAATTATAAAAGTAACGCGTTACACTACTCCGTTACCGACAAAAGTAATATTATTACAGTAACGCGTTACTTTGTAACGCGTTACACCCAACTCTGGTCGTTACTTTGTTGAGAATGTGGCCATGTAATAAGCGGGATAATTTGCAGCGACTTGGTCATTATGGGGAAAAATAACACCCGCTACGCGTCGGGATCTTGATCTGCCTGACAAGGCTCCATTAAAATATAAATATTTTTAGTGAATTACTGAGTTTAGGCACGTTAATAACATTTTAATGAAGTTGAATACAGTATATTCATATTTGTCAGTGATTTCATGTCAATTCGGCGAACATAAACATAAATGATCGTGGTGAAGATGATGAGTAAATTAGGATTAAAAATCGAGAGCCGGCTGCATTTCCTCTCGTTCGTTTTTTTCGACTAAACAACATTATTTTGTTAAATAACAACATGGTGATGTTTTGTAAATGATTACATGTCTTATTTAGCACAAACTATGATCCTATCCGTGACATATGGATCTTAACAAAGATCCGCTATACATTAGTACCAGACATACTGTACATCCAGTTTACTGTATCGAAGTTGATTTCACATGAGCTCCAGTGTGGAACCCCACTGCACCCCCTGGTGGATCAATGATCCATTGCAGCTGGCTTCACAATAATTAAATGTATTTATCACGGGGGCGGTATCAAGTCAGACTGGGGGCCGGCTCTTCATCACGAACCGATCACGGGCCGATCACGGACCAATCACGACCCAATCACAACCCTCGCGTTTCAAACTGTCTGAAATAAGATGCTCCATCTGTATCTGTTGTATTGAAGAGCTGCTCCTATCTGTTGCATTGAAGAGCTGCTCCTATCTGTTGTATTGAAGAGCTGCTCCTATATGTTGTATTGAAGAGCTGCTCCTATCTGTTGTATTGAAGAGCTGCTCCTATCTGTTGTAATGAGGAGGTGCTCCTATCACTTGTATTGAAGAGCTGCTCCCATCTGTTGCATTGAAGAGCTGCTCCTATCTGTTCTATTGAAGAGCTGCTCCTATCTGTTGTATTGAAGAGCTGCTCCTATCTGTTGTATTGAAGAGCTGCTCCTATCTGTTGCATTGAAGAGCTGCTCCTATCTGTTGTAATGAGGAGGTGCTCCTATCACTTGTATTGAAGAGCTGCTCCCATCTGTTGTATTGAAGAGCTGCTTTGTTTGTTTGTTTGTAGCCTTTATTTATCCAGGTTAAAGAATCCCATTGAGATCAACGATCTCTTTTACAAGGGAGACCTGCGGCACATTTAGTTACACATATAAAAACAAACAGAAAACAAAAGGACATCACAACATAATTACAGGGGTATACATTAGCAACCTATTTACATTTACAGGTATCCAATAATATTTCATCCAGCCGTGCTTTAAAACGATGCAAGGGAATCAAAATGCTCAGTTTCAATGTTTTTTGCATAGTGTTCCAAGCCAGAGGAGCAGCGCACATAAAAGCTTTAGCACCTAAAACAGTCCTAGCACTTGGCACATGTAATAAAAACACATCCTGTGATCTCAGGCAATAGCTACTTGCCACTCTCTGTGAGATCAGAGAGCAGATATAAGAAGGTAGTTTACCCAGCATGGCTTTGTAGATGAACATGTACCAATGACTGAGCCTCCGACCAGTAAGTGAAGGCAGACCTGCCTTGGCATACAGGGTACAGTGATGAGTAAGTACTTTACAGTTAGTAACAAATCTCAGAGCACTGTGATAGGCGGCATCTAACCTTTCCAGGCAATGGGCAGGTGCATTCATATACAACAAATCACCATAGTCTAGCACAGGTAAAAAGGTCACAGTGACTAGCCTTTTCCTGGCTTCAAAAGAGAAACAGGACTTGTTTCTGAAAAAGAAACCTAATCTAACCCTCAGCTTTTTAAGCAGATTAGTGACCTGAAGTTTAAAAGTAAGACAATCATCAAGCCAGATACCAAGGTATTTATAACAGCTAACCACTTGGAGTACTTGTCCTTGCATAGTCACAATATCCAAAGCAGTCTCTGGAGTCTTTTTAGCTTTAGAAAAGAGCATTACTTTGGTTTTCTCAACATTTAAAAGAAGCTTTAGTTCAGAGAGCTGAGTCTGAATAATGTTAAAAACAGCCTGTAATTTAACAACCGCCTCCTTAATGGAGGGACCTGCACAGTACATCACGGTGTCATCCGCATAAAAATGCAAAGTAGCTTCATCCACATTTTCACCTAAACTATTGATGTAGATGGAGAATAAAAGTGGACCTAAAACAGAACCTTGAGGAACACCATTAGCAATGTTCAACCACTCAGAAGACAGCCCATCAAAGTGAACACATTGGGACCTTTCAGAGAGGTAGTTCACAAACCACCCCACTGCATGGCTGGATAAGCCAATACTGAGTAGCCTCTGCTTTAAGATGCGGTATCAAACGCTTTGGAAAGGTCAATAAATAGAGCTGCACAACTCTGCTTTTTATCCAAAATACTTGTAATGTCATTCACCACTTTCATTGTGGCAGTGATGGTGCTATGTTGCTTTCTGAAGCCTGACTGATGTTTAGACAGAATGTCATTGTTACATAAAAACTCCTTTACCTGTTCACTCACTAGGCGTTCAAGAACCTTAGCCAGAACTGACAATTTCGAGATTGGCCTATAGTTATTTAAAACAGTTGCCTCCCCTCCTTTTAGTAGTGGCAGGACATACGCTGACTTCCATACTTTAGGAATTGTGTTTGTGCTGAGGGAGAGGTTAAAAAGAGTAGTGAGAGGTGGAGCAATAAAATCTGCAGCTATCTTTAAAAAGAAAGGTTCTACGTTGTCCGGGCCAGCCGGTTTCTTAGGATCTAACTTAGATAAAGCTTCATGAACAACATTTACAGTAAAAGGAGTAAAACTGAAAGTGTTTTCCAGACCACATTGTTCAGAGTCACAGACTGTGGTGTTCACAGTAGCAGAATTAGTCACAGAATCAAACATAGAACCGCAGGACACAAAATGCTCATTAAAACAATTTAACATAGTAGCCCTGTCCGATATAGAGCCAGATGCTGTGGTAATGCACGGAGGTAGCTCATTTCGGATCTCACCGGTGGATAGCGATTTTATGGTTTTCCAAAATTTCCTAGGATTATTTAGGTTTTCTGTAGTAACTGACAAATAGTACTTCGACTTAGCACTTTTGACATGTGAAGTGAAGCTATTTCTTAGTTGCCTAAAACGCAGCCATTCTACCTCTGAGCCTGATTTCCTAGCCTTTGCCCAGGCCTTGTTTCTCTCATGTAGGAGACTGGACAGTTCAGCAGAAAACCAAGGATTGTCTCGTCCCTTTACTCTAAAAGTACGTAGGGGTGCATGTTTATCTATAATTTCCATAAAACCAAGATAAAAATAAGACCATGCAGTTTCAACATCAGCACACAGATCGATTTTTCCCCAATCAAACCCAAACAGATCATGAACAAAACCCTGCTCCACAAAATGTGTTATGTGTCTCTTAATAATAATACGGGGTTTAACCTTTTGGACCTTAGTGTCCCTAATTGTGGCTACAATAGTGTCCGGCAGTGGCTCAGTCAGTAGGGGCTTGGACTGAGAGCCTACGTGCGTGTTTGGTCCCGGAAGGAGAGAAGTGAATTGTTTGTTTTTGTGTGATTCTCGTTTGTTTCGTCCTACGTATAGTTTGTTTTTTTGTTCGTAGTTCCCCCCCCCAAACAGCTTTGCTGTCTGGGGGTTCCCCCCGACCTGTGTGTTTTTCTTTTTGATGGATATACTGGCAACGAAAACTGGAATGGCTTTATCAACTGCGTCACGGATCACGGACATTGACACATTACAGCGGAGTGTGGAGAGGGATGGAAAAACTGTGAATGAACAAGGAAAGGACAATGACAACGAGAATACGAGCGGACAAAATGGAAAAACAGGAGTAGGGGAACAAAAAGAGGTGAGAGAGGAGCTGGAGAGGGTGGTGGAAGAGGAGAAATATAAAAGAGAGCTTACTGTGGTGGTGGCGGTGGAAAGCGGAAAAGCAGTGGTATCTGTAATGGATCTGCTAAAAGGAGTTAAAAAAGAATGTGGAGAGGTGATGGGGTGCAGGGTGAAAGGAGATGGCCTATATGAAGTGACAATGGCTGATGAAAAAGGAAAAAATAAAATAATGGATGGGATAAGGATAAACGGAGCCATGGTGCGGGGCAGAGACTGTATGATAAAAGAACTTACAGTATCATTCCTTAACATACCGGCTTACATTTTGGATACCACAATTAAAGGCAGATTGGCAATGTGGGGGGTTCTGCCTGTCTCGGCAATAAAGAGAAGAGTGTGGCCAGGCACAAAGGTTGCTGATGGGACGAGGTGCCTGCGGGTGAAGTTCAACAAGGAAGTAACGTCACTCCCGTACTCAACCAGATTTGATACTCTCGAGGGTCCGGAGTACTTCAGGGTGATCCATGATAAACAAGTGCCGGTCTGCAGGTTGTGCATAAGGCCAGGGCATTTATATAAAGAATGCCCTGAGTTCAGATGCTATAAATGTGCCAAGCAGGGACACTATGCCCGGGACTGTGTGGCTCGGGAAGAGGGGGCGAGTGGAGCCAGGGGGAGAAGAAGTGCCCAGGCGGAAAAAACAGCTGAGAATGAAATTGAGGAAGAGGAGGGTGGAAGTCAGGAAGAGAGTGAAGAAGAGGGCAGAAGTGATGAGGCTGGGAGCAGTTTAAACAAAGAAGCTGTGGCTGCTGTTGCGGCTATATTTGTTGCTGCTGCTGCAAAGAGAGCCGCTGATACGGCTGCCGCTGACGATGGAGGAGACGGAGGGAGGAAGAAGGGGAAAGCAGACTACGGAGGTGCGTGTAGTAGTGGAGCCAATGCTGCTGCTGTTCCAGCTGCTGATGTTCCTGCTGCTATGGATGCTGGAAAGGCTGCGAGGAGTGGTGAGGGTTTGGTGGATACTGAGGCGGATGCTGATGTGGATGTTGATCCGGGTGCGGATGCTGATGCGGATGCTGATGCGGATGTGGAAGCTAAACCTGATGCTGGAGGAGGAGCTGTTGGTGAGAGGAAAGGAGGAGAGGGAGCAGGAGATGGAGGAGGTGATGGTGGAGACGGGGGACAGACTGCTGAGGAAATGGAGGTCAGTTCGGTCGTGTCTGACATGGAGGAGGGAGGAGACTACGAGGAGAACGAGTCTGATGGAGAAGAGGTGGAGATGATGGGACCTCTGGGGGGGAAGATCTTCGGAGAGACAAACGCTGTGATAAAGAGCAGAGGAATAAGGAGAGAATCCAGCAGGCTAAATGCAAAGAGGAAAGTAGAGAAGGATAAGGAGGTGGAGAAAAGACGGGTGAAAACGTCAGGAGGAGCTACAAAGTGTCTGGAAAAAAAATGAATAGAATGAATACAATTACAACTTTCATAACACTGGTAATGGTGACAATTTCCTCCTTCAATGGAAATGGGCTGAGGTCCAAGGACCGGAGAGAGCAGGCCTTAATAATATGTGACTCAGACATTATATGCTTGCAGGAGACACATTGGGATGAGAGGTGTGTGGAGGATGTAAGGAAAGAGTGGATGGGAGAAATGTATGTAAATAATGGGAGTGTGGGTGCTAGAGGGGTGGCAATATTAATTAAAGCAGGGGTGGTAACGAATATAAGGAAAGTTGAGGATGATGGTGTTGGGAGAATGGTTGGGATAATGTTCGAGTGTATGGGGGAAACTTTTAGATTAGTTAACGTATATGCACCGAATGAGGTTAGAAGGAGGAGGGAGTTTTTTGAAGGGTTGGAGGGTAAATGTGGGGGAAAATGTATGATTGTTGGTGACTTTAATGTGTGGTGTTCGAAACTGGATGTGTCTGTTAATATGGGTTTTAATAGTGATTCATCACGTGGTGCTCTCAAAACAATAATGGGGACAAATGGGCTGCAGGATGTGTGGAGGGAAAGGAACAGTAGGGAGCGGGTTTTTTCTAGGAATCAAGTGGTGGGAGGGATATTAAAACAGAGTAGAATAGATTTAGTGTGGAGTAATTTAGGGGAGAAAATTGGCAGAATTGAGTATAGGAATACTGCCATGAGTGATCATAACATCTTGAGTTTCTGCATTGGAACAGTGATGAGAGGAAGAGGAGGAGGAGTGTGGTGCCTAAATGCCTGTCTGCTGAAGGATGATGGATATAAAGTTAAAGTGAGAGAATGTATGGAAAAAAGGGGAGGTTTGAATGGTGAGGATGTGGGGGTGTGTTGGGAGGGATTTAAAAATGAAATAAAAGGGATAAGTATAGGATTTTGTAAAAATAGGAATAAAATAGAAAGAGAGAAAGAGAAAAAGGTTAGGGAAGAGTTACATTTAGAGGCTCAAAGGGTAGATATAGAAATAGGGAGAGATCTGGATGAGTATAGTCGTTTGAAGGATGAGCTGGGGGAGATAGAGAAGAGAAAATGTAGAGGGGCTATAGTTAGAAGTAGGGCTAGGTATGCGGTTGAAGGAGAGAAAAGTACAGGGTTTTTTTTGGCATTAGAGAAAGTAAAGCAGAGAAAGAATAATATAGAGCAGGTTGAAGGAAAAGGAGGAGAAATAATATCAGATTTTGTAGGGATTGCTGAGAGAGTTGAGGAGTTTTATAGGGAGTTATTTGAGGCTGAGGAGATTGATAGGGAGAGCTTAGAACAGGTGATAGATAGTATGGAAGCTAGGTTGAGTGATGAAGGTAGGGAAATGTGTGAGGGGGAGATAGGACTAGGGGAGATAGAGTTAGCAATAGCAGGGTTAGGTAGGAATAAGAGTCCAGGGATAGATGGTCTGACGTCTGAGTTCTATATAGAGTTTAAGGAGGGGCTGGCGCCAATACTCCTTAAAATGTACAGGAGCCTGGAGGAGAGGGAGGAATTGCCGGCCGGTATATCTACAGGGATTATTAGTATATTGTTTAAGAAAGGAAATAGGAATAAATTAGAAAACTATAGACCACTTAGTATGTTAAACACGGATTATAAAGTGCTAGCACGGGTGTTAGCGAATAGAATTAAGAGGGTTATAAAATCAGTAGTGGGAAACACACAGGCGTATAGTATTCCAGGGAGAGATATTTGTGACACTATTAGTAGTATTAGGGACACAATTAGTCACATGAAGGAGGGTATAGGTGGGATAGTAGTTAGTTTAGATTTAAATAAAGCTTTTGATAGGGTTAGTCATGGATTTTTGTATAGAGTGTTAGAGAAGGCAGGATTTGGGAAAAGATTAATAGGGTGGGTAAGGAGGATTTATAGTAGTGCAGTCAGTTGCGTTAAAATTAATGGGGTGGTAACCAATGTGTTTAAATTAGGGAGGTCGGTCCGGCAAGGATGCCCTCTCTCAGCAATGCTGTACGCGCTGTCAGCCGAGCCCCTCGCGACTCTGCTGCGGCAAAACAGGTTTATAAAAGGAGTGGAGGTGCCAGGAGGGGGGGTTAGTTTAGTTTATCAGTATGCAGACGACACCACCATTACAGTTAAAGATAGGGAAAGTGTTAGGGAAGTGTTGAAGACAGTCAGTTTGTATGGTAGGGCATCAGGAGCTAGGGTGAATTTAGATAAATCAGAGATTATGTACATAGGACAGGTGAGGGATAGGAGTTGTGATATAGGGTTGAAGGAAAATAAGGACTATTTTAGGGTGTTGGGGATCAATTTAGGGATTAAAGAAGTGGAGGGTAGGGACAGACAGTATGTAGAGTTAATTAATGGAATAGTGAAGACGTTGAGGTTTTGGAAGATGAGGGGGCTTAAGTTGAGGGGGAAGATAGCTGTAGTGAATGGGTTAATCATGAGTAGGGCACTTTATATAATGACGGTTTTAGATGTGCCGGATAGTGTAGTGAATGAAATAGATAAGATAGTTAGTGAGTTCATATGGGATGGGAGGGGGGTAAGGATAGCTAGAGAAGTGCTAGAAAATGAGTGTAGGGATGGAGGTTTACAGCTGATAAACTTAAGAAGGAAAATTAAAGCAATTAGGATTAAAATGATGGTTCGCTATTTGGGAAATAAGGAAGATCAGTTATGGAAAATATTCTTAAAGGAACAAATAAATAAATGTGGAGGATGTGGTGATAGTGCTATTTTTATGGTGCTAAGAAAGGGGATGTTGAAAGGTTTGAGTGCTTATCAAAGGGAAGTAATGAGTGCATGGGGTGAGTTTTTGAAGTATGTTAGGTATGAGTGTGTGAATGTGCAGCAGGTGTGGGAGCAGCCGATCTTCCTTAACCCAAGGATCACTCATGAGCAGTGTTCCTTATTCAATCTGCCGATGTGGAGAGCGGGGATGAGGAGGGTTAAGGACTTAGTTTTAGAGTATGTACCAGGCTTTATGAAGGCACAGGTGATAGTGGATGAGGTTAGGGAAATAGATGAAGTGATGTATCCAGGGACAGCTGAACGAATGATGGAAGAAATCAAAGATGGAATGCCGAGTGAATGGTTAACAATGATTGAGAGTGAGATCGTTATAGGAAAGGAGAGTGTGGTTGATTTATATGTGGGGAAAGAGGATGTCAATGTTAAAATAGAAGATGTTAAAACAAAAAATATGTATAAATGGTTAAAAGGGGATGTTATTAGGAGACCTGCATCAGAGAGAGTATGGACGAGTGTTGTGAAAGGTCTGACTGGTAGAAGAATGTGGGAGAATGTGAAAATTAAATGGAACAGTATTGAATGTGAACATTTTGATTTTTTGTTGAGACATAATAGGGTGTTTAACAATCTGATAATTAGTCATTTTGAGGAAACTGTTGAGAGAGAGTGTGATGTTTGTAGAGACCAGGTTGAAACATGTTTGCATGAGTTTGTTGAATGTAGAGAGCTTGGTGTTTTTTTTGGAAGGATGAAAGAGTTAATTGGTAGATGTTGGAATGAATGGTATGTGAGAGAAATGGATTGGAAGGAGCTGTGGCTGTTTGGTGTGATTGAGAAGAAGGATGAATGCAATGTGAATCTGTTAAACTATGTTCTGAGCCACGCCAGGCGTGCGGTCCAGATAAGGAGGAACATTGCCCATTTCGAGGGTAAAATGTCTGACGTGTGGCACATAATGAAGAGGACAACAAAAAGGGACATAAACCTTGTTCTCATACATGTGAAAAAGGACATATTTTGTGAGGATTTTGTAAATGGCAGCAAATTAATTGAGATGGATGAGGAGGGAGCTTTGTGCTTCAACTTTGAAAAGTGACATAAGACACACTACTTTTCAGTGAAATAATGACAGTATATGTCATTTTTTGTATGCGTTTCATACATTATATGCAGAAAGTACTTTATGTAATTGTGATGAACTGTTAAATGTCTATTTTTGATAATAAAAGATAAAAAAAAAAAAAAAGTAGGGGCTTGGACTGGGAGCCGTAGGGTCGCTGGTTCAAGTCCCCGACCAGACCTAAATATGGAGTGTGGACTTCTACTTGGAGAGGTCCCAGTTCACCTCCTGCCCTGCCGTGGTGCCCTTGAGCAAGGCACCGGACACCCCCCTTCCCCCCCACATTGCTCCCCGGGCGCTGTACAATAGCTGCCCACTGCTCCTAGTACTAGACTCCTTGTACTAGGATGGGTTAAAAGCAGAGGCCAAATTTCACTGTGTGTGCTGTGTGCTCTGCATGTGTGACCATTAAAGAGGGTTTCATCCCTCCCTATTCTATACAACACAGTGGTCACTCACATCATTTGCAAATACTCCCACAGATGGGTATTTATAGGGAACATTAGTTAGAATGAGATCAATTAGGGATGATTTATTAGGGGACTTAACGTTAGGGCGAGTAGGACTGTCAACAATCTGAGTAACATTCAGAGAGATACAAAGGTTTTTAAAATCCTCTGATACTGCAGTTAACCAGTCCCAGTTAAAATCTCCAAGTAGCACTATTTCCTTGTAGTCTAGTTGTGATAAAAGTTTTGCTAGTGAAGACAAGGAGTCCTTGACAGCTGAGGGGGGTCTGTAACAGCCCACCACCATGACTTGTTGCCCCTTTGCCACTTCTATATTTAAGGCTAAAAATTCGAATTGCTTACTGACAGATTTGGAGATCAATGTGGTTACACTGAACTTATTCTTAACATAAATGGCAACTCCACCACCTTTATTAGGCCGGTCTGAACGATACACATTATAACCATTTAAGGATATGTCAGAGGCCAAAATAGTTTTATTTAGCCATGTTTCTGATAACACAATGACGTCAGCGTCAGTCGAGCTCGCCCAAATGCGGACAAAATCTAGTTTACCTAACAGACTGCGCACATTCAAGTGGATGAAACCCAACCCAGATCTAGCTTTAAAATCAGCAGGACTAGCGATCTGACTACTACTACTGGGCGGACCAGGGTTAGGTTGAACATTTCCTGA